GGTGGTGCTTCCATGCGAACAGGCTAGCCGATGAATGAAAGGAAGAAGAAGAGATTGTTGACAACTTACAATCGAAACCGCCCGGAACATAATGGCTGGTGCAGGAGCTGAAGGCCGTATAGCAGCGGCATTGTACAAGCAATTGCGCGAAGCCGGGCATCGGAAAGAGTTGCAGCGTCGACTAGACACTTTACGGGGGTTTGCAACTTTTGGAGTGTAGAGAATCCGTCGTATACGACAGGATCGAAGGAGGGGGAGATGGTGGAGCTGGCAGAGAATGTGGCATCCTGTAGCGCACTGCTAAGGAACAAGGATTTGACGATAATGGGAAGCTCGTTTTTTTTTTGCGTGGGTTTCTACCATCACTCGTTCCAGAATATGTCACTGCCATTGAGTCAACCACACAAGGGGTAGCCAATGGAAGCAAGAGAGGAAATGTGAAGAGAGAGTGAGGAGACCTTCGGCCTGGGGGATGCTGGGTACAATACAACGCAGCAGAGTGTTTCCGGGGAGGGGGCCAGGGGGACTGTTCGCAAAAAAAACTGTTCAGAGGGATCATGATGCACATGTAGTCTATGTATGTATGTATGCATGTATGTATGTATGCGCGCAAAAAAACAGACATTTGACACAGGGGACGAGCAAAAAAGGGCCATGAGCGTCCGTCTGTCTGTCTGTGACAAGGTCGATACAAGACCCAGCAGACTGGAGCCCATTTCACCTTCTAGGCATCAAACTGCAATCAATCGAAGACTTGTGCCCAACAAGTAGCATTTCGCCCTAGGTGTCCCAACTGCTTCTGTAACGATTGCGGTAGGCGGCGGCTGCAGTGTCGACAAAGACGGTGAGTGCGTTGGCGACCGCGACGGTGGCGGTGGTGGAGATACCGTTGTCCTTGTTGTGATCGACATAGGACCAGACGTGGGAGCAGTCTGCGGTCTCCCCCATGTGTTTCGGTTAGGTGGCGAGAAGGTCGCGAGCGGCGGTTTGCACTCGGTCTCGGTGTGGGTTGCTGAACGCACTCTGATACGTGCGGGCGATCACGACCAGTGGAGTCTTCGAGCTCCCGGCGGGTGGCGGCGGCGTATGTAGGCTTGACGCCGGTGACCTTGAAGGTGGTGTGAGGCGACAACGGGCCGGAGGGCGAAGGCGGGCGGGGATGATGGAGCGGCTGCGGTTTTGCCGCCCTTGAAGCGGCGGTTGTTGGCGCGCTGTGGTGTGGAGAAGTCGTCAGAGGGGTTGTCCCTCTCGGAGATATCGGGGGTAGTTCCTCCCCCACGCTGCTGGCGTTTGATGGCAGCGGTTTCCTTGTGTAAGTGGGCGAGACGAGCTGTGGCCGATGCTTACAGGTCGCGGAGTTTTCGTGACTTCCTCTTTGCCTCAGAAGCTTTTTGCTGCCGTTCTTTCTGTGGCAGTTCTTGGGCGTGCTTTGTCGCTGCGGCCTCTTCATCGATGGCGACACTGGCGGCGGCGGAGGCTTTGTTGACGGCACGGTGTCGTTGTGTGAGGCCGACTTCGTCCTAGTCGGCTGCCGAGTAGGAGGGTCTGGAAGATCGGCGGGCACGCGGAATACGGGAGCTTGCTGGGCTCCGGTTTGGCGTCGGTGTTGTTGGTAGACATATTGACGGGCAGAGGCTGAGAAGCCTGAATATAACGACAATGTCCACGAGGGCAGAGAGTGACGGGGAAGAATTGGTCAAGGTGTCTGTCTCATTGTCGTGCATTGACGGCTGTGCGGTGTCGGAGGGTGGCAAGAGATATATGCTCTGCTGGCGAGCGGACGAGCAGCGTAAAATAAATAACGCTGTGCGCGTGCATGCTGTTGTAGGCTGATTCATGCATTCAGTTCAGGAGTCCAGAGCTCAAAGCGTGAACGGTACATGAGATCACGGCGTTATTGCGATAGGGCGGGATTGCTGTGTTGCGCTCTGAAGGGGGGTGGTAAACAACGTGTCAAGATTTTACGAGTTTTCATGTTCCCATAGAGCGACGTGGGCGTCGGCATCACGCGGCATTGTGGACTGCATGAGTGCCGCTTTAAATGCAGAGAGCACAAGGTCATTATTGTCGGAAGCAGCAAGCAGTGTCGCAGACGGTGTAGTGGGTCCAGAATGTGGCGAGTTGGCGGTGTGGTGAGCGGAAGATTCGGCAACCGATGGAATAATGCCGAGTTCTGCGATCTCCGGAGATGTGCGGTAGGGACGCTCGGATACGCCCAAATTGTCGATGCTAATTGTCGATTGCATGGCGATAGCTGTGTCGGGCGGCGCGCGGATTGCGCTGGAGTGATCCTCATCCATGGCGTCAAGCGTGCGCTGAAAGAGCGTAGTGTCGTGTTCTGGTGTGTCGCGTGTGTGTGTCGACAGACTCGTTTTCTACAACAACAGCAGAAGAAGAACAGAACAACAGCAGTAAAGTGCGATCAGTGTGATGGCGATGGCAGCATACATATCGTCTCCTAAATATATTATCGTCTCCTAAAAACCGAAAATTGCTTAATTACTTGAGATTGTGTGGATTAATTAAATTTGCCAGAGCAGTGGCAAGTGTGAGAGGATTCGTAGAAGAACTGTTCCTCCGTACACGATTTCGCTCACACAGAAGCCGGGCTGCACTGACTGACACCTGGCACCAAGGCTGTTCGTTGTTTTTTTGCTGTTGAGAAAGGAGTTTTTCACCATAAGTTGTATCGAAGTGTGGGCCGCGTGTGTGCTAGGGGACAGACTTCTGTCCGTGAGACCCGCCTTGAGTTCGGTTCCCCCAACTTTGGCGATTTTTGCACATGGCCAAAGAGCGTCGACCGCAAGGCGCTTGCGCCCGAAATAATTGAGCCTGCCTCCCCATATAATATATATTATATATGTACTCCCCAAACCCAAAAACAATTAATTATATCAAACACCCCCATATATTATACCACCATTATTTTGTTTGTTCTTCTGCGTTGTCACTTGCGGTCATCACGTTGTGGGAAATAAATAAATGCCGATCGAAGGCCCTTCAGCAAGAGAAGGCATATCCGAACTTGGCAGAGAGTGTGCTTGTTCCGAACTTGGCAGAAGAGTGTGTGCTTGTGTGGCGAGAATGGTGTCGTCGCGGGAAGCAGCCTTGTCGGACAGTGGAGTATCATTGGCGGTCTACTATAATTATTGTCGAAGGGTGTTTGGTGGGTATCACGAGGCACGGAGCAGACGGAGGTGTTGGGTGAAACAGGAGGAGATTGATGCAATGGCATGTTCGACCAAGACAGACCCTAAAGATGATGAGGCTGCTTGCTGCAGCAAGGAGTGCACTTGATGGATTGGCGTCGGTGGAGGTAGCGGAGTGTGCCGAAACCGGGGAGCTGCTGCCACTAGAAGCAGAGCTACGTGGAGCACTATTATTGGTGCCGCGCGGGCTGGCTGCGGATGAGTCGGCGCCGCCCCCTGCGAGTGCCACCATAATGCTAGCGAGCTCAATCAGGCTTACGAAAGAGAGAGATCTATCTGTCTACCCAAGGAATCCCATACAGACAGCCGAACAAAAAAAAATCCACTCCAGGCACCCGAAAAGAAAACTAAAAAGTTGAAGCGACTCACGTTCGAATCCAAAACGACGCCAAGTAAGTGTGACGAGATGTGACGATCTCTGACGCGGGATCAGTGGGGAGCTAGTTCGACCACTGTGTGCAGGGTGGAGCCGCTTCACTTCTTCAGTCTGTTTCCTTCCTTATCCTTCCTTTCTCTCTCAGTCGCTCGCGGGTATATCTTTCAGGAGTATCCTCACCACCTACCTGCCCAGATTCCTAGTATTCCGACTTCAGCCAGGTAGCGGTACTACTTTCGCTATCGCTCACCCCCAGGCGACACCAGGGAACACCAGGCAACACAGAGCAAGGTGGAACGCTTGCACATCGCATGCTACTGCTAGTATCCATTGTAGTACCGCTACCTGCCTGAAGTCGGAATACTAGGAATCTGGGCAGGTGGTGGGGATACTCCTGAAAGATATATATAGACCTACCCGCCCAAATGGTATATTTACTGGTATATTAGTCCAAGGGTTCAAATATGATACAAGCACTTCCTTCTTTATTTAGTCGAGGGGTGCTGACGGATCGATCTGTGATAGTCTGCAACACCAGACTTACGTTCACCGCCCGTTTGCACGCAGGACAAGCTGTTACTATTGTTGTGTATCATGCACGAAGACCACGGACGGTGACAGGCCACAGGCCACACAACGAGGGTTCGAACTACCTCATGCCAAGAGAGAGAGAGAGAGAGAGAGAGATGGCACAACAGCAGCAGTAGACTATATCCCTTCAGCTAGGCATTGATCTCGTGACGATACCACGTACACAGCAGTACAGATCACGGCATGTATACTCTGTAGGTGTTCACTACAGCAGTATTCACCGCCGCGGAGCACGAACCGGCTAAATAAAGCTGTAAGGCTATCACCCAACCCTAAAATTAAACCCACACGGTCACACGATAGGTCATGAAGATGTCGATGTTGGGCTGACATCGATCGGCCTTGTTCTGGGCTAGGGTGTTGTTGTTGTTCCTCTCATCTTAGCTCTATAGTCCACAAAAATGGGGAGCCCGTGGTCGCAAAACCCGGCACATACGACGCCGCGGGGAAACAAAACAAGAATAGAGTACAAACCACTCGGAAAAAGAAAACAAAATGAATGATAAAAAGACCAGTACCTAACACATTTCTTCTGCACCTTCCCAACATGACATATATGAGACACACAAGACAGCTATCAAACTGTCTTGTTGAGCCTGTTACCCGCAGGGGAGATGTCCCTATATGCTGTCTGGGAAACCGTAGACATAGAGGTACTTTCTGACGCTATGAATTCATTGCTAATCTGTCTCAGACTCTTTTCTATGATAGAGATGGATTCATTCGTTGTTTCATATTAAGAAAAATAAAAAATGATAGAAAGAAAATAACAGCTACCGCACCGACCGGTCGAGAAAAGGAGCCCTAGGAAACCGATCAAAACAAAAACAAAACAAAAATAAAGGCAAAAATAAAAAGGGAAAAAGGAAAAAAGGAGGATTCCCACACCCAGCTGGTGTGCCAACGGCCCGTAGCAACGATGAAGAAGGTTCTTCGTTTGCCTCCCGGCTGCACTGTGCAACCAACGTCGACAACAATTGAGCGGCGGGTGGTTGTGGTCTCCATGGTTGGTTGCCCATCGTTTGTTGCTCAAAATTCCACCGCGCGCTGGAAAGGTGAGAGGTCGAATTTTCATTGGCCAACGAAGACAAACGACGCCAATCCATTGATCGGTCAACTATTCAAATAGTTCTATTTGCATTGGGTTGGAATAATAAGCACTACATGTGGTGCTGCGAGCGCTGATTTGAAGTCAAGACAAAAAATAAAATAAAAATGGTCACCTATCTATGCAAGACTGACGTCTCTTCATTGGCCAGATATAAAGAAGAGCTGGCGTCTTTTCATTGCCAGGGAAGTGTTTTTATTGGTCAGCTCAAGACCAACGTATTTCCATTAGTCAGCTAAGACCAACGTCTTGTCATTGCCGGTGCGTACGGTGCACGCCTTTTTGTCAACCAAGAAAGGTGCACAATCAATCGTCGTTCACGGTAACACTGACGCGAGTCGCTAAAAGCAGCCAGCTGCTACCTACATCTACCAGAGGCAGGGCGGGTGCACATATGGCGAGGACGATGCGTCTCACAGTCACACCCAACACGCACACGCTTGCTTGCGAAACTCTTCAGGAAAACTGTTCAGGCCTCTCCGCACGAACGCACGCTCAAAGAGTCGAATAGAAGCGCTATTCCAGACGTAGATAGATATAACAGGAAGGAGGTGGAGTGCATCAAGCGTTGTTGCAGCCGAGACACGGCGGGCGGGCAACGAACAGGCCACATCCCACCTACTACAGTTAACCTCAGCATCGTGACTCTTCGATCATTTCCCAATTCCAAGCGTGGGCGAACACCAAGAACTACTGCAGCAGTAGCGCGTGTTTGCTGTCTTGTACACCCAACGAACGAAAACAAAAATGCCCGGGTAAGGAGGGTATCTCTTCGCTTTCTGTCTCTTGCCATGTTTCCCACACAAGAAAGTGTCCAGATACAGCCGCCCCCGCGTTTAAGAATTCGTGACTTTCTCTTCACAAAAAAGTGTCGTTAGAAGCGGGGAAATGCGCTTAAAACTAGAAGCCGTATTTGCATTTAGCGGACGCCGTATCCTTGAACGTGAGCACGACTGCTGTATGCCGGAGGTCAAGAAGGGCAACAACACAAACGAACCACCCCCATGATTTGTGCAATCCTCGTGCATACCCACGGCCGCAATCTGTGACAGGTAGCTCTACAATAAAAAAAAAAAATGATGCCCTCCTTACCCGCCATGAGTTTACATCACGACTACTTAAACCACCGCAAACTCCGAGATCACGACCGGATGCTATTCTACTACTTGGACTTCTTGGACTCGCTCCTGAAGCACACGGTACCAATAACATCCAGGACAGAGTAGTCATGACCGACAACATCAGCCACAACAGCAGCAGTAGACAACACCACCGACCGCAGAGTATAATAGGGAGGGCAATGGGCAAAAGCGGAAGTGGCGCGGAGTGGGGGGGAGTAGAGAAACGAGAGTCAGCGAAGGGCAAAGAAAAAAATAGCGGTTCGTCATGGGATGAACGTCACAAATGAAGCTCCCCCCACTGTATATTACAAGCCCCCCCCCGTAGCCTGGGCCGGCAACAACCAGGCATATCGCTCCGTCCCGGCATTGCAGGGATGCGAGATCAACGGTCTAACGACCACGGCATGCGTCTACATCATAGCAACACCTCCGTCTCGCCATGTGTCGTTTCAGCATCTGCCTCCAGGCCCCCGTGCTCACGTCCCGAGAAAAACACTGCTGTCTCTCCAGACTTGAGCATTAACACGCGAAGGAAGTTCTCATGTTTTTTCTTCACAGCAAAAAAAAGTTGTCCTAAAAGCGGGGAGGAGTCATGAGTTTGGATGTCCTCAAAGCGGGGTTAGGATGTCCTACAAAATAAATAATCACGAACATGTTCATCGTTCATCGAAAATAGAAAGTCACAAGCCCCTGCGCTCACGTTCCGAGACAAACGATGTTGTCTCTCTGCACAATCATGCACACTTCTTCATCGAAAATCGAAAGTCACCAGCCTCGCGGACTCACTTTCCGAGAAGAGACTTTTTCCTTTCTCCGCATATCCATCCACGCCTTGTTCATCGAAAATAGAAAGTCACAAGCCCTCGGACTCGCGCTCCGAGAAAAATCCCGTCACCTCTCTCAACATTCACTCCTCAAGCTTCATCAAAAAGACAATTTACAGCTCTCGGACTTACGTTCCGAGCAAAAATTACGCCGTCTCTGCACACAATCGCTTCCCTCGCTTGCTCATCGCCCACTCACTTTTCTTTTTTCTCCTTCTTCTTCCTGTCTCTTGCGCGCTTCTCCAGCCTGGTCACCAGCTTCTTCACTGCATCCCCCATCCCCCACTCGTCAAAGTTACCCTCGTAATCAAAGTATTTCCCCACGTTCCATTGCTCTGGGGGCAAGCAGCAGAGGAACAAAAGGGAAAAGGTATGTGAGAGTGGGACGCAAATGCTCTTCACAACAACACCGAAAAAATCGGAGATATGGACAATGATGATTCCCCGCTGCGGTCAAACCATTTTCTTTGCGACGTAAGAAGAAAATCATGCACGTGTCCAGCGTCCGTAATTTTACAAACGATAGGACGGGGGGGGGGGGTTCTTCCCAGCAGCCACGAAAAATAATGTACTGCCAAGACAACATGAAAGTGTACGTGTGCACGTGCGATTCTATCGGGATCACGCCCCCTTGGGGAAAAGCGTTCAAACAAGCCATGAGCTACCGTGTACCAAACAACGAACACCACCAGCACCACCATAACACCAACAAAGAGAGAGCGTGACATCAAACTAAAATCAAGACAAGAGCCAACCTTGAAGCAACCGCAGAAACAGCACAAGCACCACCAGCAACAGCCAACGACAAGCACGACAACAACAACAATAACAACAATAACAACAGCAACCAACACCAACATCACCCACACTATCACCAACAACGGCATCCACAGCACCAACAACAACACTACCCACACTATCACCAATAACGGCAACAACAGCAACAACAACAAGACCGGCATGGAGGTCAGACCTTCGATTGGCTTGGATCCCGGCTTCCTCTCCTCCGCGGACACGGTGAACATCTCGTCGAACCGAGGAAAGTCTGTCCGCACAAAAATCCCCTTCCCCATAGATCGGCTTGACTGTCGCAGTTTTTCATTGCAGTACAACATTGGGACACACGCCCAAGAGGAGCGGGAGCGTGGGGGGGAAGTCAGAGACACAAGAACAAAGCCAACACAAAACGATTTGAGATGTCCTGGGTTCGTTGTCGTGTTGGGAGCGTTGGATGGACTAGGCTAGCAGTGCTAACCCTTCGAGCTGCTGCCAAGCGTTTTACAAAGACAAATGGTGGGGCAAGAGGAAATCAAACGAGCATCATTGTATGCATTCCCGTTGCACATGAGCAGAACAATCAAAACTACAAAGCCCGAAAGCAAACGACCTTGATCTCTTTTCCCGTCAAGCGCAAGGAGTTCATATTGACTCTCGTCACTTGTTGATTAAGAACCTGAATCAACCAAGCCTCAGAGCTCATGGGACACAACTTTCGTTGCCCATTCCATCTACTCTCACAGGGCTACGGCCGGGTTCAAACGGAAATTGACTCCAATCTGCCTGCCCCCCTCTCCGTCACTCGCGTCACGAGGGTACTATTATTTCGAATACTAGTAACCCTCACCCGTAACACCTATTACGAAACAACGCTTAAGATTATTATCTTCGCGAATGCTATCGTATCTACTGCGCATTTCTTTCCTTGACATGCATGTCTCCGACGCTGTCGCACGAACGACTCAGCGATCTGCGCCTCCCCCCACCAACGACCACTGTAGCTAGCAAACACGGAAAAAAAATGACGACCGGGGAACACGCCTCGGAAAGAGAGCCGTACGCCGTAGGTGACATAAGCAATCACACACACCCTGGACCGATTTTCAAAGCTCGACTTCGCTACGATGAAGAGGATGCTTCAATCAAACGATACGCTTTCGGAAACCTCTGGACGAGACGGTCTCAACACCGCCATTTCACGGCACCATCACTCCTTCCGCTTGCGGAGCAATCAAAATCAGTCCGGGGTGTGTGATATCTTGCGTCATGTCACCTACGGTTACTCTCGGGCGATGAAACTCACGCTTCTTGCGGTGGCGAGAATGAGGTCCTTCTCCCAGTAGGTGACGATCAAGTGCAGACAAAAGCTGCAGGCGAAGTAGCT